TTGAGTTACACCCCAAGCCCTTTTAAAATTTTATTTATTTATTGGTGGTTCTGGGATTGAACTCAGGGCCTCACACATACTAGGCATGCACCTTACCACTGGGTCCATCCCCAGCCCTGATTTATTTCTTTATTTTGAGACAAGGCCTTGCTAAATTGCCCAGGCTGGTCTCCAACTTGGAATCCTCCTGCTTTAGATAGGTTTACAGTCCTGCCACTGTGACTGGCTCATTTGATAACATTCTTTTCTTTTAATTGTATAATTTAAAAAATATCCTGTTTCCCTGCATCCATATCCTTTTTTTAAAGAGAAAGAGAGAGATAATTTTTTAAATATTTTTTTTTATTTTTGGACACAAATCTTTATTTTTTTATTTTTATGTGGTGCTGAGGATTGAACCCAGCTCCCCGCGCATGCCAGGCAAGCGTGCTACTGCTTGAGCCACATCCCCAGCCCTCCATATGTTTTTTGCTACTTTGTTCTCTCTACTTCTATTTTGATTTTTGAGATGGGGTCTTGCTATGTTGCTTACACTGGTCACGAATTCTAGGATTCTAGCAATCCTCCTGTCTCAGTCTCCAGAGTAACTGGAACTACAGACTATGCTCTTAAAGACAGGCACCACCTCTACTTGAAATGCTCTTTCACCAAATTTTATCTCAAATGCCACTTCCTCCAAGGAGAAGTCCCAAATCTCATAAAATTGTAATCTCCCTAGTTTGACTCCTCATAGTATTTAACATCCACACTCGGTACTATCATCTCTCCTTAGTTTGACTCCTCATAGTATTTAACATTCACACTCGGTACCTCATTGTCAGGCATGCCTTGCTTCTCTTTCTGGAGGCCAGCACAGAGTGTCTTGCTCCTAGTACTGCTCAGTAAACACTTAGTCGTTAGAATTGGCAACAGCTAAGGATTGAGATGGGAGGGAGACAGATATCAGCAACCTTTAATCTCTGCCCAAGATGGTATGGTCCTCCTCCCCACTTCCTTCACCCTCTCCTTCCAGAACTATTTGAAATTTGGAAGTGTGCGTTCAAGGCAGGCAGCGGGGTGGACCTTCTTCCGGAGCTCAAACCAATGTTCTCCCCTCTGGTTCGGAAACACCAAGAGGAGAGACCCTCATCTCCTGAAGTAAGGCCAACCTCGGGGCCCTGGGTCGCCTCACATCCAACTGGCAGCCCTGCCTCCTCCAAGTCCTTCCCAGAGTGATGTCGAGATAATTGGAGACTAAAACCAGAAGTGGTTTGAGAGCCGAGCTGGGGACCTGAACGCTGAGCGGGAGCTGGGGTTGGCGGGACTCGATGGAAGTGAGGACAGAGGCGGGGCCGGGGGGCAGGCCAGGACCCGGAGACTGAGTCTGGGCAAAGCCCCCGCGCCTGCCTAGCCAGCGGCTAAATTTACCCGGGCTGACTCAGCCCTTGCCCGGAATGGGGGGCGGGGGGAGTGCTCCCAAGCAGTGGGAAGAGCTAGCAGGGGTGGAGTGGGGGGCGAGGAAGAGAGAGTCCCTGGTAGGGGAGATGGGTGGGCCTAGAGTTTTCTCCAAAGAAAGGAGTCCTCCTCCCCCCTCACAGCAAGCGGGAAGGAGCAGAGGAGCCCTGGGAGAGGGTGTGGGGAAAGGGTCAGAGAAAGGAAGATGCCAGAACTGATTAAAGGGAAGCTTAGATTTATTGAGCGCCAATGTGTGCTAGGCACTGTGCAAGGCGCTTCACATACATTACCGCATTAAATCCTCACAACAACCCTGCGAGGTAGGTGTTTATAAACCCCCATTTGACAGATGAGGAAACTGAGGCTCAGGGAGGTGAAGTGATTTGGCCAAGCTCACATGGCTAATAAATGGCAAACAGAGGATGTATCCAGGATCGGAGAGAAGAAAAAGGTCAGTGTCCGCGTTCCAAGCCACTTGGCGTGGATGAGTACAAAGAGGGGCTCGGCGTGCTCCAGAGATCTGGGAAGCCGGAGGCCTGCTCCCGGCCCAGCACAGCTGGAGGTGGCAAGGCGGGGGACAGGCGCGCGGTAACTAGGGATCAGATAACCTGCAAAGCCCGGATAGGGGGTACTCAGGAACTAGCAACCGGGGAAATCCGCGACCTGCGCGCGCCCCTTAGTGGCTACTGTGAGTATCACGCCCCACCCTATGGTCTTTTTGAGACCAGCCTTTTTCCTTGCCTGGAGGGTTTCTTGAAGAGGCAAAGATGCAAAAATTCTCAGGGTTCTGTCAGGTGGGCAATACACCTGGCTGAGAAATCGTAATAATGCTTTAGTACACCACTAAGGGACATGGGGGTGAAGCAAAAGGGGAAGGCCTAGAGAGGTCCCAAGCTGATTCATTGGCTACCTTCCCTCCCCAGCTTGGACCACCACAGGCCAGGGACAGTAACAGGGTCACTATCCTGCCTTGCTTTGGGGAACCCTCATCTAAACAAGGGAGACCAGGGTATGAGCACCTTGCTCACTCAGTCCTTCTGTAAACCCTAGACAGTCTCCTGAATTGAGGATAAGTGAAGGTGACAAGGAGGCAACTGGGGAACCCTTGGATTCTGTTCGTCTATTCCCAATGCTCTTTCCTGGCTTGTTGAGATGAGGCCTCCTCAAAGATCCCCAAATTCCAGAGCTGGGAAGAACCATAGATCTCCCTCATTTTAAATACTAGGAGCCCTGGAGAGGGGAAGTGACAGGTGTAAGTCAACTGGCAAATCAGTGGCAGAGTTGGGGCCAAAACTCAAGACCTGTGACAACAACCTTGAGTCCTTTTCCTGCTTTGCTGGTTGTTTCTAGACCCTCTTCTGCCAAGAACCCCTCTATCACCTGGCCACTTTGTCCCTAGATCCTTCCTGCCCAGAGGTCCTGCCCTGACATTGTCTCCCTATGACTGCCTCCATCCCTGCCCTTTTGCCTGGTCCTTACTAGGCCTCTCTGTTCAGCTCCACACCTTGGGCACCAGCCCCTGCTGAAGATCTCAAGGAATGTCTTGCATACAACAGGCATTAAATCTGCTCATTCCCATCTCTCCTGAAACAACCACAAAATGCCACATGCTCCCTTTTCCTTTCATTTCTATTTCAAGTATGGGTAGGGAAACAAGGAAAAGAGAGCAAAGGAAGTCTCTGTGGGGAAGAAGGAGGACCAGTAGGTCCAAAGAGGGATGGGTCAGAGGATACAAATACAAGAAGGAGTCTCTCACTGCCTTTCCCTATTCCCTTGTGGGGTCCCCTTGGCATCCCTCGCCCCAAAGAGGGCCTGCTCAGTTTGGCTGATGACATCTAGAATCTCTTGGACACTGTCGCTCAGCTCTGCTGTCTTCCCGCCTTCCCGTGGCCGGGCGTTCCCAACCACCGACAGGGTCCTCTCATTCCGCCAGGAGGCGCCCGGGGTTTCTGTGTCGCTTCCATCAGAGGAACCGCTATGGATGCTGAGCTCTTCAGCTTCGTCTGAGTCCGAGTCTGGGGCAGTGTGGCGGCGGATGCGGGACACTGCTTCCCGCAGGGCCCCAGCATAGGGCCCCGGGGTCCGCGCCCAGCCCCCGCCCGCGCGCCGCGGGACCACTGCCACTTCCAAGCCCTTTGCTCCGCCGGCGCCTCCCAGAGCTGATGGGCCTAAGGTTGGGTGCTCTGGGCTACCTGGCTGCGTGGGGGCGTCCGGCAGGTTTACTTCGCCTACCGAGAGCCCCAAGATGCGGGAGGCGCGCTCCTCCAGTGAAGATTCCCCCGGCTTCCCGTCCTCAGTTTCGCCCCCGCGCCCCCTGCCCAGCTGGTGTAAAAGGAGACTGCTCAATAGCGGTTTCTGGTCGCTGGAGGGAAAGACCTCGGACCCCTCGCCCTCTTCCTTACAGGGATTGGGTTGCCTGGGAGCTTCTCCCACCACGCGTGGCTCCCCAGAGGGCAAAGGCTGCACCTTTTGGGTTCGAGAGGTGGGAACATACTGGGACCGTATCACCACACACGTGGCGTCAATGACAAAGACACCTTCTCCACTAGCGGGACCCCGGGAACTGCGAGGCAGGGTGTGGGCGCGGCGGGTCGCCTTCCAACCCTCCAGGGTCTCGGATCCTGTCCCCTCTCTAGGACCCAGGAACTCTTTCCATCCAGTGCCTCCTGGAGCCCAGGGTCTGGGGAGTGTCTGGCTATGCCGGGGTGACTGCTTTTTAGGGGAAGGAAACCAGCATTTGGGCAGCCAGATAGGTTCTCTTCCCTCTTTCCCTTCCCTCGAGCCCTTGTAATGGTGCCTGGACCTGGGAGCTGGACGTGGGGGGCTCGGAGACGCAGTTGCAGACCTCGAAGGAGCTATCTCCGTGCCTGGGCTACCTGTAGTTTTGGCTTGGGAGTGGCGGTCACTACCATTGTTGAGGCCAGCAGCCGCTAGGCCCAGACTTTTCTCCGTGGCCCCCTTGTCAGACTCTGGCCTCGCTCTGGCCTCTCCACAGCCTGGAGATCCCCCTAAGAGACCTCGCCCCTGTCGGATACCCCAAGCCCCTAAGACGTCCCGGTAGATTCGAGGGTCTAACTTCTTTTTTGTGCGCCCTCCCTCTGTCCTGGCAGGGGTCGGAGTTGGGGCTGATGAGATGGGTGCCTGTGAGAACTCGGGACCTCGCTTGGTCCCCAAGGTCCTGTGGGGGCCTTCGTAACAAGGTGGAGCCACGTAGGGTGGTGGCCGGTCCCAGCGGCGTCGTGGGGCCGTACCTGCAGAGCCTCTGAGTAGCAGGTGAGTCTCATAGCTGGGGGGCCCTGGCCTGCGACCTCCCCAGGGCCCCGCCCATGGCGCCCCAGGGTCGCTCTGCGGTTGCGCGGATGGACGAGCTCTCCCCACCTGCCCCAGGCGCCCGGGCCGAGAGGGAACTGGGAGCCCTGCAGGTTGGGCCACCCGAGGGACGTTCCGGGGCTCCAGGCGCGGCTGACCCACAGGGCTTCGTCGGGCCCCACCAGCTTTGCGCCTTTTTCGCTCGGTCTCCTTGGCCTCCCGTTCCTGCGACGCCGCTTTCCTTTTCTCTTGCTCCCGGGCTCGGACCTCGGCCGGAGGCCCCGCCCGCCAGTTGGTCGCCTCCTGCAGCACCCTGGAGGCCCAGGGACGGCGGGGTGGCGGCTCGGGGGATCCCGGGCTTGGCCTACACCTGGGACAATGAGCAGGAACCCAGGTGAGCAGTTTGTGGGGGAAGGGAGCCGAGGTCCAGGGAACTGGGAGCACTGGTGACCGTTTGGGACAGCCACGTGAAGGGGTTTGTGTGAGTGTGTGCGAGTGTGCACGTGCGTATATGTTAGGGCTGAAGTCGAAGTGGGACTCCTCGCCACCTCTCCATGCACACTTTAATAGCGTCTGCCCCATCTTACCTCCTGCCCTTTCTCACGCCCACTCATGTCCCCCAATCAACGCTGAATGAGTCAGGCCTGAGCCCTCGAGGGGTGGGGGAGGGAGGCGCGGGAAAGAGAATGGGGACCAGCGGTGTTCACTGGTGCCTGTGGGGAGATCTGGACCCCAATCCCCGCCCCACCACTTGCTTCCCCTCACCCCTCCTTCACTCACGTGCGGTTCTGGGGCCCGCGAGCCCAGTGGCTGGCCTGAAAGTCCATGGGCTGTCGAGAAGGGGCGCGGCGACTATAATGACAGGAAATAGTCTTCACTTCGATCACCAACAGCTTGGACTTCTGCACCCAGAGGCAGCTGCCAGACTCCTCATCCTGGAGCTCCCGGGGGCTGTCGGGCCCCTCGGAGAACAGCGGGCCATCCAGCATCCTGCCCCACCCCACCCCGGCCCCCCACCCTCCCACCCGCCCCTGGAGCCCCCTCCCAGCCCAGGGAGCCGGCGCCCACTGCAGAGCGGCGGGCCCAGGGACTGGGAACTATATATACCCAGGCACACGTGTGTGCCTGTCTGTGTGTGTGTGCGCGCGCGCATGTGACACAGCGCGGACGGCTCAGCTTTGCTACCTCCCCCATGTACACGGCCGCCCCCTGGGGCCCAGGATTGGACGCCCCTTCCCACTGCTCTGGTCCCCCAAGCCTAATGGGACCCGCAGTGTGGGTGGAAGAGAGGCTTCTGATTCCTACCACGCTGACAGTGCCCCCCTCTCTAGTCGTCCCCATTTCTTCAACCTTCCTGCTGTTTTAACCCTTTACTCTCCTGCTTGTCAGGTTGCCAGACCACTAGGGTTCTACCTGGTACTTTCTTCCTGCCTTGGACTTATTTCCACAACGGGGAATGATGAGAATGGAATTTAAGGTCTCTGCCTGCCACTCTCTGTGCTGGTTTCCATGGGGTTGGGGTGCAGGAGGGGCTGGCCCACGGCTGGGGGCGCTATTTTTAGCGGCAGTGGCATTCGGATGCAGAGATGAGATGAGTAACCAGCTCCTAAGCAGTGGAGAGAGGAGGTGGTGGCTTTCAGGAAGCTTTTGTATGACTCGGGGAGAGAGCTGTTCCCCCAAGCTCAGAAAGGGTGACCCCTACATCCTTAACCCTCACTTTTTGAGTGTGGCAGAATGGCTGCTGGTATAGTAGGACACACTCCATGGTGGCTATCTAAGCTGTTCTACCACTCCCACTCTAGATATTTGCCCTTGGGCACCCATGGAGCCACCCCACCCAGGAGCAGATACATTCCCCAAGTACAGAAGCCAGAATTTTGGGGTTACACTGTTCTGTGCCTACACAGCCCTGCCCAGCCTTATGGAGGACAGAATAGAGTGCTTATGCACTTGCACCCTTACTAAGAGGGATGGAGGAGGAATGGTGTGCTCCCTTGGCAAAACAAATTCCCTAGCAACTGCAATAAAAGTGGCCTGTATTTCCCACTGTAGGAAATACCTCTCCACTACCACAATTCCTAGTTCACTCAACCCCTTTCTAAAGTGGAACTAGCCTCTTGGGCTCAGTCTGTCCTAGGAGGTTGTTGCTTACATCCACATGATCCCTCCCCCTAAGCCTATACCAGGTGTCCCCTGATTCACCATGGTAATGTTAGTGGCAGCACAGCCCACGCCAACCCTTACATGCAGAGACTTAGCAACATTGCCTGGCAACCATGGCAGCAGCTTCCGTGGAGGGGAGGGGTGCAGAGAGGGAGAAAGTGTGTATGGTAATGGTTCCTAAGGAACAAGGGACAATTTGCCTCTTCTAAGAAGAAAAGGTTAGGAGCCTGTGGAGCTCCCTTGTCCTTCCCTCAGTTCCATCCTCAGATTCTGAGAATGATTGGTTGGATTTTAGAGGAAAATGGGAAAAGCAGGAGATCCCAATTTGTTTTCTGCTAAAGGACATGGACCTCTTTGGGTACAGACCCTACCTTTTAAGGTAATGGGAATAAAAAGGGTTGCATGGTAGAGATGGGACTTACTACTGAGAAATAGCACAAAACTTAGACCCCCTGCTCCTTAACATGGACCCTTGGAGAGAACCCAAACAGCCCCTGTCCCATCTATATCCTCCCTCCTGATTCCATGCACATACCAGCCGCACTGATGGCTCTGCTTGAAGGTGCTTCTTTCCACTCTGGATTCCACCAGAGTCCAGAGGCTTTTTAAAGCTCTTGCCTCCTCTCCAGACAAATCTTTGTTCATGAGGGAATGTGACATAAGGAGACATCTGTCCTTTCCACCATGCACCTACCCACACACATATAAACATACTCTAATTCTAATAACTTGGAAGCCTTCCTCCCCCAAGTTTGGGAATGTGCTGCCAGAGCTGTGAAGAGGTGAGCACAGAAGCAAGGGCATAGCCACAATGCAGCACTGAAAGCTGAACCCTGACAAGTATCTTGATGCTTTTCTCCTGGTTTGGAATCAGGAGATTCCATTAGGAATCCTGGTTTGGAAAAAGTATAGTAAGGCTGATGGTTCATCAGAAGAGTTAGATACAGGGGCTAGGGTTGTAGCTCAGTGGTAGAGTGCTTGCCTTGCAAGTGTGAGGCCCTGGGTTCGATCCTCAGCCCCACATAAAAATAAACAAGTAAAAATAAAGATATTGTGTCCATCTACAACTAAAAAAATTTTTTAAATGCAAAAAAAAAAAAAAAAAAAGAAAGACTTAGAAACAGTAGAGGGAAGCCCAGGCTTGTAGAGATGCAGTAGTTCCTGGTTTGGATGGGAAATTATTGTGTACCTGCAAGGGAGTAGTGAAATGGCATTGGAATCTGGCTCATGTCCCATAGTCTGGCAGTCATTGAGGTGTCTGATGCTGACTACTGTTTCAGTCCATGTAATTTCAGCATAGGGAGTGGGTCTGATAGGGTGACCTAACTCCTGCTATTCCCTTACCCACTACTGTTAGCTCAGTGTTTGTGTGTGTGTGCGCACATGTTTGTGCGCTGCGAGCTACTGGAGATTTAAACTAGGGACAAACGTGCTAGGCAAGTGTTCTACCACTGTCTAGCTCATTCTTACCTTGGAAGAAAGGCAAGAATTTGTAAGTTCAAGGATAGTGCCAGCCCAGCAAAGTTCAAACAATCCAACCTTCCTTAGGAAAAGCTGCTGATGGTGGCAGGTCTCTCGGCCCAAAGACCTGTCTGTTCTCTGGAGAGCTATCATTATTATGAGATTTTCCTGGGGCCTCAGCTATGGTTCAGGCAGAGGAGAAAGTGAATAATAAGGGAATAGGGTGGACAACACTTGTGAAAGGAGAATTACAGAGGTAGTAAGTCTAGCAGAGTGATTAAAAAAAAAAAAGAAAGAAAGAAAAAGCATGAAACCTGGATCTAGACCATTTGGATTCTAATCCTAATTTTATTTTATTTTATTTATTTATTTATTTTAAATCAACCATTTCTCTAAGGAGGACTAGCTCCTTTCTTTTTTTTTTTTTTTTTGAGAGAGAGAGAGAGAATTTTTAATATTTATTTTTTTAGTTCTCGGCGGACACAACATCTTTGTTGGTATGTGGTGCTGAGGATCGAACCCGGGCCGCAGGCATGCCAGGTGAGCGCACTACCGCTGAGCCACATCCCCAGCCCCTAATTTTATTTTTTATTAGCTTGTGGCCTTGAGCCAGTTAGTCACTCTATGCCAGACAATCTATTAAGGGCTGGGGATTCAGCTCAGTTGGTAGCGTGCTTACCTTGCATGCACAAGGCCCTGGGTTCAATCCCCAGTACCAGTATCAGTACCCCCCACACACACAAAAAAAAATCTATTAAAACTAGTATAGTATCTAGTATGGTTCTGAAGACTAAATGTGTTAATACAGTTGACTATCCCTAATCAAAAAATTTTAAATCTGAATTGCTCCAAAATTCAAAACACATAGTCTCAAGTATTTAGGATAAGGAATACTTGTATAGGTAAAGCACTGAGAATGATATTTAGTATGCAGTTATATATGTATGTGTGTTGTTATTACTACTGTTATTAGTGATGAGTTGAAGAAGTCATATGAAGTTGAAAGGTTGGGGAAAGTGTCTATTAAGTGTAAAAATCAAACACTGCAATAACATGATGAGATTGTTGTCATTTAATCAGCTTTGCCATGAAAAGCAATAACCTTTGCTATCCACTCTGACCTCCTCCACCACTTAACCATCTTCCTTCATATGCTTACAGCACAAGAACCAAAAGCCTTCCTCCCCACAATCCTCCCCACTCAGATCACTGGAAGAAATGACACTAAATGGACTCAGCCTCCTACATACAGCATGAACTAGGAAGAATAAAAATATGAAGAGTTTGGTTGTGCTATTATCTTAGGATAGAGTCAGAGCAGAGACAGAGGCAAAGGAAGGGTGAGGTCTAGGGATCTCTCAGAGATCAGTATTTGCCTGAGGAGCACAGAGCCCATATTATACCCAAAAAGGGGCTATGTCTAAGACAGGAGCTGGGATTGGCTAGGCTGAAAGATTTTCTCAAGTATACATGTGAGGGTAAGGGCAGCTAAAATCCTTCCTCCTTCTCCTCATGCCTCCTCTAGCTTTCAGAGAGAGGGCAGGGGACTCTGAGTAGGGAACAGTCAGTTCTCCTAAGGTTTCATCTGATTCCTACAGCTTTCATTAGGCAGCAAGTGAAGCATATCCCCTGATGCTGCCCAACTCCTTCCTCCTGCTCAGGGCTTCTTCTCTCCACCTGTGAGCACCAGGGCCTGCAGGATGTCAGATAGTGATACAATTCCCTTGACCACATCATTCTCATCCACTACTACAAGTCGGTGAACCTGGCACAGAACAAGAAGAAGGAATGCTTAGTGCCAGCCTCAGTTGGGGTGAGCCCCTCAACCCCTATTCTCCATGCTAAACCCCAACTCTCAAGACTACTTCCCCCAGCTCCTTTAGAGTCACTGGCCTCCCTACCTCTGCTTCCACCAGCCTGTTGATGATGGTCTCTAGAGTTTCATGCAGGTAGCACTTGAGAACACCCTCAAAATAGTGTGATCGATGTTGTAGAGCTTTGGTCACAGACACATCCAGGTTGTTGTAGGTCTTTTCTGCTGCCAGATTCTGGGGAGAGAAAGGAAGGGCTTGCAGGGAAGCAAGGGAACCAGTCCCTAAATCTTGGACACACCCAATCTCACCATAGGGGTTTAGGGCAATTGTCAGCCACATCCACAAGCCATACACAGATCATTCAATTTATTTTCAAATAGAATTTGAAAGCTTGGAAACTTCTAAGACTCAAATGACAAAAAAGACTTCTTCTTTTCCCTTTCCACATTCAATATCCCTCCCCTTCCCAATATCCCAACCCCTCCCCAATCACTCACGATAACATCAAACTTGGAGTAGATGTCCACCACACGCCCTAGGGGGATAGAGGCAGCTCAGAAAGGAGTTCTGGCATCCAAGGCTCCCCCTTCCCCAAAGAATTGCCCCCCTCCCATGTTGAGCTGAAGGGAAAGCAGATTTTCTTCAGCTACTTGACCCCTAAGAGTCTTCCCTCTCCTTTCCTAATCTCACCTTTCTCATCCACCACAGGCAGGGCTGAGACTCGATGCTGTACAAAGATGCCCAGAGCCACATATACGGGGGTGGTAGTACGGACCATAGCAATATTGGCATAGGTGCCAATCTGCAACTCTTCCAAAGACTTAGACATGAACTCTGGCTTGGGGAACTCAGTGATCTGAGGAAAGAACCATTAGCTTGACTTTTAAGGCCCCCTAAACCAACCATGGATAACCCTCCAACCCAGTATATAAGAAATAAGAACTGGGTTGAGATCACTTACAAACAACTTGAGGAACTTCAGGATGCGCTTGTGAGTAAGAATGTACAAGGTATTGCCTGATTCTGGGTCAATAACTGGCAGCCTATGGATCTTGTTTTGAATTAATGAAGAGACAGCATCAAACAAGCTGTGAGAAGGTAAAGAGTAATAATAAGTCCATAATTCTAATGCTGAGTTATATAATTCTTTTAAAGAGTATTTGTAAACAGGAAAAACTGGTGGTTAGGAGAGGTTGATAGCTTAGACCAGACTTGGGGGGAGAGAAGGAGTGAGTGAGTGTGTAAGAGAGTGTGAGTATTAAGAGGAGTATCTTTTTTTGCCCCTCCCTGGATCTTTGGGTATTTAGAGTTTTAGTTAAGCTGATGGCAAGGCTGTTCCCATTTGGATACATGGATAGCAGGAACTCACCTAGCATTTGGAGAAATACAGACAAGTGGCTTAAAGGAGTCCTGTAGGTACACCTCTGAAGGGAAAAGGGACAGTTCACAAAATACTGCCGTGGAAAAAGCATTTCCCACAGGAAACACCCTCATCCCTTCATCCTTTTACAACCCCCAATTCTCCATATACCTCTCCAGGTTTCTATTTTGTGTTCTTCTAGCTCATAGATCTGTACCTGGAAGCAGAAGCAAAAGAACTTGATCATCTTCCTCTTTATTTCATGGCTTGCATGCAGGAAAATACATGAGAATGAGAAACTCTGGGCAAGAAAAGTGGTTTTAGTGTTTGGGCTAAGGTTCCTTACCAAGGCTGACTTATAGTAGCGATGTAAGATATTGATGAAATCTGTGATAGTCAGCATACCTAAAGGCCAAGACAAGAGCCCTCAGCATCTCAAAGCTTCTCTTCTTTCCCAGCATAAGATGCCAATAATATTGTGTTCCAGACTTTTGCTTACCCACAAAACTTTGCTTCTTACTATCCCACAATGGGGCAGCACGTACACCATTAGTTACCAAAGCAAAGAAAGCTTTCTTCACCTGTAGCCAAGACAGTAATAATCATAAAGGGAAATTAGCAGGATACAGGACTGTTAGAAAGAAGAAGGGTTGGTATTCTGGGGAAAACAAGAGATTAATTCCATAGAAGGAAAAGGCCATTACCCTTAAGATGAGACAGGATAAGCGGTATTGAACCAGAGGTTCCAAGGAAGGGGGAAAGGAAAAGAAGATTCCACCCACCTGCAGGGAAGTATCAAATACAACCAATTTGGAGCTTGTGGGAATCAGGTCATAGCAGCGATGAGACTTCATGAAGGAAGTATATACGCTATTATTCGATTCTGGGGTCTCTGCATAGGGTGGGACAGTTAATAGCTTTCTTCCATACAACAACCCCCCATTAAAAGAGACAATAAACAAAACAGTGTTTTAGTTTCTCAAATAGAGCATTTTTTTAAAAATAATTTTTTAAATAAGGTTCCCTATTCTGTTTTGTTCTGTGGTTCCTAGAAAACCTAGATGAACCCCTTAAAAACTGTTTTATCCAACTCCTAACCCCAGGTAAGATTATATTGGCTCTTTAAGTAAAAGAAGGATGATTAAAACAAAGTCTATAATATCTTTCATTAACTTGTTCTAGTCTAAAAGTTTTTTCTCATCTTTAATTCAAAAATTTCCTTTCATTTATTTAGCACACTTTCACTTGTTGTCTTTTCTCAGTAAAGATGAAATACCAAGGGGCTGAAGTTGTGGCTCAGTGGTAGAGCACTCGCCTAGCACATGTGGGGCACTGGGTTCAATCCTCAGCACCACATAAAAATAAATAAATAAAGGTATTGTGTTCACCTACAACTAAAATAAATAAATAAATAAATGATAAAATACTAAGCAAGCTTTTAAAAATTCTTCTCTAAGAGGCTGAGGCTGTAGCTCCAGTGGCACAACACTTCCTTAGCCCCACATAAAAATAAATAAAGACATTCTGTCTACCTACAACTACAAAAAAAAAAAAAAATTCTTCCAAGACCTGCAGATGGCAGAGTCATGGTATAAGTTGGGCCGTTTCTCAGCAACACTAAGTTGGAGCCCAGTGCTCAATCATCCTGAGAGTTCATTATGGGATCATTCTGGAATCAGAGATCATACCACCTACTCTAGACAAATAGGAGAGTCTGGCTAGGCTTACCTCCATTCTTGTGATTTTTGTGGGGGACAGGTACTGGGGATTGAATCCAGGGGCACTTTACAATTAAGTTACCTTCCCAGACCTTTTTTATTTTTAATTTTGAGACAAAGTCTCACTAAATAGCTTAAGGCCTTACTAAATTGCTAAGGGTGGCCTTGAACTTGAAATCTTCCTGACTCAGTCTCCTGAGTCACTGGGATTAAGGCAGGTGCCACGGTGCCAGGCTCATTCCTGTGATTTTAATTGCTTGACCAAAACTGGAGAAGTAATCCCTCAAAACAGCAGCCCAAATGTGCTATGTACTAGGCTATCTATACTAAAACATATTACATCACTTAATTCTTTCAACAAATCTGTTAAGTATCCTCATGTTTCAGATGAGAAAACAGATATGGAAGAGTTAAATAAGCCATCAAAGTCACACCATTAGAAAGTGGCAAGAAAGATCTACCTAATTCCAAAGTTCATGCTCATAAATTCTAAGTCAATTTTGTTTATTTGTAGCTGGGGATTGAATGCAGGGTCTCTGTTCATGCTAAAATGTGCTCTACCATTGAACCATATCCCTAGCCCCTCCCACCAGCTTGCTTTTCAATATTTAATTTTTCACCAAAGTTACACAGGCACACAGTTTGAAGAGTTAAATAGTTTTGCTAATTTTGTTATGAAAAACTGCTGTACCAGGCACCCACCTCCCTGAACCACCCCTCCTCAGATATTTATCTCTTTTAGCTGATTATTTTGGTAATTATTTCTATGTCCTTAAATTACATACTTATATTGCTACTTTCTGATTTTTCATTTTTGATCTTTATCTACTATCTTTCTAACAAGTAAAATGAGGATTTTTAGTTTTTTGTTTTTGTCTTTTTTCCCTACCGGTACTCCATCACAAACATGTGCCTTCCACCTCAATTCTTCCAGGAGTTAAACTCTAATGTTGGTTATATTAGTACTTAAGCCATTTTGACTAAATATGCATTATCAGAACTAAACCAAAAAGTAAACTCTGATTTTTCTTTTACAACTTTGTTTTCCCTGGAGTTAACAATGGTTTTATACTCATTTAATTTTCTATATAAGTACTTATAATTCAACCCCCAAACTCTTTCACAAATTATTAAAATCTCCTTTCAAGAAATTCAGAAGCATGAGATAACTTATCAATTTAAATTATCTAAAGAAGTCTCTCTGGATCTTCTGACCTGCTCAAATCTGGACTGGTTTGCCTGGTGTATACTGCTGCCATCCTGGGATCTTCCTTTCGTCACCATCCAGGGGGCCCTTTTACATCTCTCCTCTATTGGTACTCCTGTTTCCTGTATTTCATGTTTTCATCTTTTTTGATTACTCCCTTGTTTTGGTGGAGCACATCTTCCAGTAGCTTCCTGAGAAAGGGTGCATGGGAGGTAAATGTTTTGAGACCTTGCAGTCTGTTGATATCTTTATTCTACCCTCATCCTTCCTTGGTTTATAATTTGGGTGGATATGGAGTTTATTTTCCTGAAGAATATTGAAGGCATTGCTCCATTTCCTGTTAGCTGCTAGTATTGTTGAGAGTCCCAGGTAATTCTGATTCTTTGTATATTACTTGCTTTTTCTTCTCTGGAAACTCACAGGATCTTCTGTTTTCAGTGTTTTGAAGTCTCATGATGACTGTGTTTCAGCAGGGTTCATCCACTATGCTAAATGTTCAATGAGTTATTTAGTTTGAAAACTAATTTTTCAGTTCCCAGAAATATTCTTGATTTTTTTGTTTTCTTTCTTTCTGTGTTGTCATTTTCCCTTTTCAGTCCTATTATTTAGATATTGGGCCATCTACACTGATCCTCTCAGGTCTGTCTGGGTTTTTGTTTGCTTTTGTGACTTATTGTTTTTTTTTTTTTTTTATCTTTTTGTAGTTGTAGATGGACAGAATGCCTTTATTTTATTTGCTATGTGGTGTTAAGAATTGAACCCAGTGCCTCACATATGCTAGGCAAGCACTCTGACAGTGAACCACGTCCCAGCCCCCGACTTCTTGTTTTTAAAATATCTTCTCTCCTATTTTCTGCTTCCTTGATTTATTTTGCAGTGCTGGGGATTGAACCTAGGGCTTTGCCCAGGTTAAGCAAGTGCTCTACCACTGAGCTACATCCCTAGCCCAGCTTCCTTGATGTTTAACTATATTCTGGGAGAATTCTTCTCCTGGATTTTTCAGATCTCCTATTTATTTCTGTTTTTGTTTTGTTTTGTTACCAGCAAGTGAATCCAGGGGTACTTAACCACTGAGCCACATCCCAAGCCCTTTCTATTTTTAATTCTTTTTTGGTACTGGGAATTGAACTCAGGGCACCAGACCACTGAGCCACATCCCCAGCCCTATTTTGTATTTTATTTAAAGAGAGGGTCTCACAGAGTTGCTTAGTGCCTTGCCATTTCTGATGCTGGCTTTGAACTCATGATCCTCCTACTTCAGCCTCCCAAGCCGTTGGGATTACAAGCATGCACCACTATGCCCAGCTTTATTTTTTATTTTGAGACAAGGCCTCACAAATTGCCAAAGCTGGATTTGAACTTGTGATTCCCCTGCCTCGCCAGGGCTTTGTGTATGTGAGGCAAGCACTTTACCAATTGAGCTATATCCCCAGCCCCCCCAAAAGTTTTTGTTTGTTTGTTTGTTTCTGTGGTGCTGGAGATTGAACCCAGGGCCTTCTACATTCGAAGCAGGCACTCTACCAACTGGCTATATCCCCAACCCCTGTATTTGTTTTTAAGTTTTGATTGATTTCCAAGGGCTCCATTTTGTTTTCTGAAAAATTCCTTTTTTAAAAAAAGAAAAACATATCTTATACTTGTTTCCTGATAGAAATATGTTCATTGAGCCTAATATTATTATTAAAGTTTTCTACTCTGTGTATTGACTTTTTCTGCAGTTGCTTTTTTTTTTTCTTTTTGTTTCCATATGTGAGGTGGCAAGTAATCATTTGTATCACTTTTTTCACTTCCTTTAGATGTTTGGTAGTTCCTGGTTTAATTTTATTAATTCATTCACCCATTCATTTATTCAGGGGCACTCTACCACTGAGCTATACACTCAGCCTTTTCTTGAGATAGGGTCTCCTTAAGTTGCCTAGGTTGATCTCCAACTTGTAATTCTTCTGCTACATCCTCCTGAGTTGCTGGATATTATGGTTTAGATATTAGGTGGCCCCCAAAGGCTCATATGTAAGACAATACGGGAAGCTTTAGAGGCAAAATGACTGGGAGACCCTTTAACCCAATCAGTACCTTAATTCCAACAGTGAGTGTAGGCAGGTGGGGTATGGCTGGAGAAGGTGGATCATCGGGGGATGGGGGAATGGGGGGGGCACGTGTCTTTAGTAATCTATTTTGTGAGCTCAGCTTAGTCGCTCTGCTCCCTGATGCCGTGTCCCCAGCTGCTTTCCTATACTACACACTTCCGCTGTGATGTTCTGCCTCATCTCTAGTCTTGAGGAACAGAGTCAGCCAGCCATCTACCGACTGAGACCTCTGAAACTATGAGTCCCAAAATAAACTCTTCCTTCTCTAATTGTTCTTATCAGGTCTTTTGGTTACAGCAGCAAAAAAGCTGACTGAAACACTGGGATTGTAGGCATGTACCACTGGGCCTGGCTTGGCTAGTAACTCTTGGTTTAAAAGAGTATTCAAATTCTATTGTTCCCCCATCCCTGCCAAAATCACTCTCTCTCACACACACACACATTTGGGGGAGGTCCAGATTATATTATTAAGAGGGGAGGATTAAAAACTGATTGGGTGCTCTAAGTGTGTGAGTAAGTCTTCTGTAAGCCATTTAAATAGAGAACATTTAATACTTATATTTTTGGGGCATTCCCCTCAAGGGGAATATGGAGAGAAGAACTATTCAATTTCAAGCTTGGAGGGTGAAGTCTTTCAGTATTCTAGAAGCTGAATCTCCAGGGGAAAGAGGGCTGAAGGGTCAGTACCTGGGGCAGTTCACTTTAGGCCCCAGTTTTCAGTATAGTACCTCTGCCCTCAACTGTGCCTCAGTCTCTCTCTTGATGCCCAGTTTTGGCCAAAGTGGGGAGGGGGAGTTGTCCAACCATATTCAATAGGTAGACTCTTGGGATCTATTTGCTCATTTTCAGTTTTCTCAGATCAGCCAAGTTACTCAACATTCTTCCATCTGCTTTCCAGCTTCCAAAAATTCATTGCTATTATCTTCTCTCCTGTTCTGATAGTTTGTACCTTTTTAAAAAAATTCCTTTATAATGGTTTTAGGGGGTTTGGTGAAGGATATATATATCCAATCTATCATCTTTAACTGGAAGCTATCCATTGTTTTTCAAACATGAGAATTCACAAACACCTAAGAAATACCTTTAGATACTAGTTGAAAATACACTGCATCAACAATTAAACACTACCATTTTAAGCCACAGGCCCCTATACATATTGAATTTGGCTTTCCTAGTGTTTTAAAAAAGTAATTTGTATTTGCTCAACTTTAAAAACCTGGAGATTTACATAAAAATGCTAATTCCGAGTTTCTTTCCAATATCAAAAAGATCTGGGGGACAGAGATATAGCTCAGTGGGTAGAGTGCTTGCACAAGGCTCTGGGTTCAATTCTCAGCACCACACACACAAAAAAATCTGGCCAAAATAGGTAGATAGTCATAGTGGCGCATGCCTGCAATTCCAGTGGCTCAGGAGGCTAAGGCAGGAGGATCTTGAGTTTAAAGCCAGCCTCAGCAAAAGCAAGGCACTAAGCAACTAAGTGAGACCATGACCATGTCTTTAAATAAAATAAGATTTAACTGGAAGCTACCCATTGTTTTTCAAACATGAGATTAGAATAAATTAGAATAAATCAATTAAAAATAAAAAAGATTTATAGATTGTTCCAATCATATTTCTGTTTTACTGCTAGGTTCATGTAGATAATCCAGTTTCTAACTCCTACCTTGTTGCTACTGAGAATATACTCAGACAGATACCAGGTGAAAATGCTCAATTATGAAGAGTTATTCAGATAATCCAAAAATAAAATGAAAACAAAAAATGTTTTAATTTTTTTTTTTTGGTGGTGGTACTGAGAATCAAACCCAGGTCTTTGCACATGCTAGGTAAGCACTCTACCACTGAACTACTTCCCTAGCCTAAAAAAATTTTAAATTCTTGTCAAGAATTCAAAAACCCTTAGGATCACAATATGACACTATATTGCATCTTTTTTTTTTAATATTTATTTTTTAGTTTTTGGCAGACACAACATCTTTGTTTGTATGTGGTGCTAAGGATCGAACCTGGGCCGCACGCATGCCAGGCGAGCGTGCTACCGCTTGAGCCACATCCCCAGCCCGACTATATTGCTTCTTGGAATCTGTACTCAGCTCCTATTTAATCCTCTGGAAAAGTGTGTACTCCCAATGCATAAACACATCCTGTGGAGACCTAAGAGTGTTCCTGGGAAAAATTGTTTACTAGAGATGTCTGTCATTTGTGCCTCTTTCTAGATGGCCTAGAGTTGGAACATTCCATTTTAAAAAGGTATTTGGAAATTCACAGGAATTGTCTTCTCCTTTACTCTGGATTTTAAAGGCATAGTACTTCTACTTCCAGATAAATTCTAAGGACTTTTGAAGTTTTTCCATAATTTCTTGTGTACACTTAAAGGCTTTGTGAACTTGCTGGGTGATAAAATCCTCACGGCACTGTTTTTGGATTACTCAAAAAATACCAGAGATTTCAAAAGCATAGCTAGCCAGCTGAGTTGCCTACTGAGAATGTACTCAGACAGATACTATGTGAAAATGCTCAATTATCTCAGAAGTTATTCCCAAGTGGCTTAATAATTGAAGGTATTAATCCTCCCCACCCTATCCAAGATTTATTCCTGGGTGATCCTACCAAATGACTATTCCTGATTTGAGTGGCTTGGCACATTATCTGGATCAGTTTTGATTTTTCCAGGAGAAACACTAGAAGATGCAAAACCATTGTGAAGATAAGTTAGGGTCAAGCTATGGTTTTTATGTTCAGTCTCCTTTGTTCACTTTATCGCACAGTATACTTACCTTGAGGATGCTCATTTTCCAGAGCAGGGGAGCTATCTGAAGTAACCTGGAAAGATAAGAGAAACACAGATGCAACTTAACCTAGGCTCCATCCATTTTAACCTAGCAACATTAGGAAAAAGGCTTATAAACTGATGATTTCCTTTAAAACATTCTAGGACTCTTCATAAATATTATTTTACTTAATTTTCGTAACAACCCTAAGGTGAATACTATTATTATCCTATTTTCACAGATTAGGAAACTGAGAGTCAAGAGACATTAATCAACCCATCAAAGGTCATCTGGTTGGTAAGGGGTAGAGACTTGAACAAATTATCTGTCTGGTTTGAAAGTTCATGTTCTTATTTGCTACCTTGCCTATGAGACATTAGGTCTTAAAAAAGTTTTTTTTTTAAAAATATTTCCTTAGTTGTAGATGAACACAATACCTTTATTTTATTTTATTTTTTAATTTTTTTAAAGAGAGAGAATTTTTTAAATATTTATTTTTTAGTTTTTGGTGGACACAACATCTTTATTTTATTTTTATATGGTGCTGAGGATCAAACCCAGTGCCCCCCACATGTGAGACGAGCACTCTACCACTGAGCTACAATCCTAGCCCTAGGTCTTAAAAATTAAGACTACAAAATATGGACTTAGGATAGGCCTCATAGGATTCTCACAGGATCGACTTTATTAAAATACAGATGCTGGGCTGGGGTTGTGGCTCAGTGGTAGAGCGCCTGTCTAGCATACGGGAGGCACTGAGTTCGATTTTCAGACCACATGTAAATAAATGAATACAATAAAAGTCCATCAACAACTAAAAAAAATATTTTAAAAAATAGATGCTGCTGGGGACTGGGGTTGTGGCTCAGTGGTAGAGCGCTTGCCTAGCATGCATGAAGCACTGGGTTCAATTCTCAGCACAGCACTACATACAAATAAATAAAAATAAAGGTCCATCAACAACTAAAAAAAATATTAAATAAATAAATATAAAATAAAATAGATGCTGCTGGGCACAATGACGCATGCCTGGAATCCCAGCTACTCAGGAGGCTGAGTCAGGATGATCACAAGTTTGAGGCCAAACTAGGTAACTTAGTGAGACTATGTCTCAAGATAAAATAAAAAGGGCTGGGGGTACAGCTAAGTGGTACAGTGCTTGCCTAGCATGTAGGAGGCCCTGGGTTCAATCCTAGTATCTCAAACAAATAAAAACAAACAAAGACAAAACAAAAACATGGATGCCAGAGAGATAATGATATTAAGCATAGTTGTGGGCACTGGAATCACAGACATACCCCTTACCACTGACAGAGGGCCATGTCTGGGGAGATCCTCATAGTTGTCAGTAAGACAGCCAAAGCCTGAATAACTGAGGAGTAGATGAGGAATGTTAATGTATAAAACTGGAGACTTGAGTCCTCTCAGGACCCTGTGAGTCAAAGGGGATGCTGGATTTCCAAGTTTCATTTCCCAAGACAGTCTCAGATTAGACAAACAAACCTTCAGAACCATCTCTGTGCTCCCCCAAGTGGGGATGTTATGTAGGAACTCAGGAGGGATTCTGAAAATCAACTGGCATCAATAATTTTGGCTCCATCTGTTTTTGGTAATATCCCCAAACAAACTTAAGGCCATACTTTACATCCATAACTTCTGTAGTAACATGAAGTTAAAGACTTTGGCTTGAACCTTGGAAGCTGGCTGGCAAACAGGGTCAAGTTGGCAGAGCAACCCTAACTTCCCCCCTGAAATGTGCTGAGGGTTGGGGGAGGAGAGAGAATAAACTCCCTCACTTCTCTTTGGGCTTGGTCTGGGCATTTTTGGCAGGGCTACTGGAACAACAGCCTCATCATTTAAAAGTGGAGAGAGCTGTTCTGTAGCAAAGATACACACATGATATACACAGCCTCACAAAGGACTATACAAAGGTACAGAAACAGCTACTCATATAAATTACCACACCCATCATATGATACCTACACACCGCACTGTTACAGTTATTTTTTTCATTATCTATTTAAACAGATTATAAATTCCTGGAAGCCTACAACTAGCTTACACTTTGTATCCCCCATCACTTAGCAGGGTGTACTGTATATCATTCACAATTTTTAAAAATTCTCTAGTAAATAATTAGACCTAAGACTAAGTTATATATATAGAGAAGAGACATATATCTTAATTGAAATATAGATAACAATATAAAAGAGTAAGGTAATTGAACATATGACCTTATCTTTCTGCCTGTTTCTCCACACAAGAGGGGAATTTACTCCTTTCTATTTTTAATAATGTGAGGAACTGAGAAGACACCCCTGTATTCCACAAGTAGTACAATATATTACAGACACAGTTTAGATCTGACACACAGACAACAAATTCTTTAAACTTCTTATCCACATTTCCAATTGACTTGACAACAATACATCACAAAGACTACTAAAAATGCTTCAATACAAAACAGAATATTTATCTGTTCAATCCTCTTAGTCTTACTGTGATTGGTATCTTCCCAAGTACCTAGAACTGTAGTTGATTTTCCTACTTTCTGTAACATGCAGAACTCAAGGTGCTAAACTACTATGTTAGAAATGCCTAATATCATGCCAGATGCAGTGGCATAAGCTTGTAATCCCAGCTACTTAGGAGGCCGAGGCCGGAGGTTCACAAGTTCAAGACCAGCCCCAGCATTTAGTGAGACTGTTTTAGGGGGGGAAAAAAAAAGAAGCCTTATATCCATCTCTCTTACACTTTTATAGTCTTAAGCTTTTACCTCTCCCTTCTGTAACAGTCTCTAAATTTGTTTCCTCGCCCTCAATCTATCTCCTCTTTGATTCATCTTCTGTGCTTTCACCAAGTTCTCTCACAAACGCATCTCTCGTTTGAGAGGAATTTTCATCTCCAGAAATCAGAAACTCATTACTTTCTGTAGTGGGTCCATTCATTGAAAGAAAGCTGTTAAGAACATTCCCTGCAAAGCACACTTATCCCTGGTTCAGACATCTTCCACAGGTCCCTTAATTATAAAGCAAAATTCAAACCTAGAACAATAAGCAATACCTTCAACCTGATTTTAGCCTACTCTTCTAGTCTTTTCTCATACTGTGTCAAAAAATTCAAAGCTCCAGCAACATCAAACCAACTATCTCACTCCTATTTATTCTTTGTGTACCCAATTTTTATGTCCTTGCTCAATTTTAATGCCCATTGCTAAGTCCAGTGTAATTTTTTCCTCCTCTACACTTGTACAGTTCTTAGTTTATGTCTTGATGATGGCACAATCTACCTTAATAGCTGTTTCAGGTTTGCCCTTACCCTCACTTCAGTTAGGTCAAGGACTTTCAAAGCAAGAATTTTCTTTTTCTTCTTTTTTAAAACAATCTCTACACCTAGAACCCAATCTGGTACATAAAGCATGAGGGCTAAATTAGAAAATATATAGAAAATGCTTTGTAAACCATAATACATTACCAGTAAATTAAAAATGATACATCATTTTGAATTGAGTGAAATCAAACTATTGTTGCTCAAAATTCTCTTACTCTAGAAACTGACTCCCTTACCTACATTTCACTTTACCACTTTGTTTTCTTCTTTAGAATCTAAGGAACACCACCTCTCTGCAAGCAGAGAAACGGTGTGGCAAAGAATTACTCAGGGCAAATAACTAAATGATCCAAAGAAAAGTGAACCTGAAATTCTTCCACAACAACAGTAGCAGATGATTAAAAACCAAGCTGAGAAGAGTTAATCTGACAGAGTAACTGGGGAGCAGGAAGTAAATGCGGGGGTGTTCCTAGAGTGCTGGAGAAAGAATCCCCAGAGTAAGGTGGGTTCAAACATGGAGCAAGTAACCTGCAACATCCATGGGAGAGGGACAGGGACCTGTCACAATTGGTCTTTCGCCTGCTCATCAAGAATGAACTATGTCAACACTCCTGCTTGAGTCGCAAAGCAGGACATGACCTAAGCTTGTCCAAGGGACAAGGCGGACTATAACACTGAAAGATTTCTTCCTTCAAGAAAACCTCAATTCTCAATCAATAAGGGAATGGAACCTCGCTGGATGCAGTACAAAAGTCTTTCAGATCTCCCTCCTGCTAGAGATTGTAGGAATCAGTCAATCGGGTTCCAAGAACTATCTGCAAGAACGGGTCACCCATCAGTAAAGCTAGATCATAACCCTGCTCTCTCATGTACACTTCTGAAAAGGATTGAGTTGCTATGAGAAAAGAGGCCTGAGAGCCATAGGGTACGTGGGTTCCAAGGAAGGAAGCCAGGAAAGTCCCCGCCCGCTCCGGCCAAGGGTACCGCGGACTGACGGAAGGCAGGCAAGGGCGGGGCCCCGTCTTAGGAAATACGCCCAACGAAGGAGCAGAGGGGCTGGGTCACGCAACAGGACAGCCACCGGCTACTTCTTGTTTGCCAGACACCAGCGCCAGGCCCTGCCCGTCTCCTAAACTGGGGGGTCTCAGGCTCCACAGCGCCCCCCGGCCGCCCTCCTGCACTCCTCACCGTCTCCATCGCAAGGGGCACCGGCCTTATCCTTTCACTTTAGGAAGCTCGCTCAGGGCACGTCCCGCCCCATGTCCGGTGCTGCGACGCCACTTCCGCCTACGTCACGGCATAACGTAAGCCCAGACTGGAGGAGTCCACCCTTGCGCGGGTGGCCTTGCCTGGATAACCACCCTCCCCCGGGTCCTCGGGACCTCACGTATCCGGCTGACGGCGAGGGTCACGGAACGGAGCCGCTTATATTTAAAATGTTCTTTTTTTATTTGTCGTTTAAAAACAAACTTGGAAGAAGCAAAATCCAAAACTTGCCCTTTGCCTCTCGCAACATAAATTATGTACAGTTCAGAATGATCGCTGATACAAAACATGCCAAGGACAGGGGCGCTGGGGGTGGAGGGAGAGAGGGCGCTTTAAAAAAGGGGAACCATTTCATCCGTTGTTACGAAGGACCAACCTTGCTGTACAGGATACACACAACACAAAATAAAGTCTTCACGGGATTCACACTTGTCAGCGATTTATTTTTTTAAAAAGGGGGAGGGTCCTGGAGGTGAGGGTAGAAGGCGGTACAGGGGAAAAACTGAAAATTGAGTATGTGCAAGTGTAAACCAACCCAAAATACAAACAGGGGGAGTGGGGTGGGGAGGGAATTCTGATGCAATTATACAGGCAGGGTACTTAAAAAAACCAACAACCAAAATTCCAACCTTGCAGCTTGGGTCTGAGTTATAGTTTATATAAAAATTAAAAACTGTATAAGGATTCTTCACTAAATTCTACAGGACTATCGGATACCTAGCATATGCTTACAAAGTCTGCCCCATCCCCTTTGCCCAATCTTAAGGCCCAAGCCCCGACCAGAGTTTGACTGCAGCCAATCTCCCCGTCCCTGTGGCCTAGACCTTTTTGCTCTCAGAAAAAGAGCGACCAAGGGCTGTGGCTCTAGGGGCAGCAGCCCAGTCTCCCCACTGCCTGATCTAATTACAGTGATTCCTGTGGGAGTCGGGGGTGTTATTCTCTTAAACATTTGCAGCTTGAAACAGTTGAGGAAGCAGCTTAAAAAAAAAAAAAAGAAAAAAGAAAAGAAAGAAATCTCCCTACCCCCATCAATCCACAACCCCCCAAATTCAAAACAAAACAAAAACAAACCTAAAATCACAACAGCGACCGTGCTCCCCTTCCAGCAGGCCTGCCCATCTGCCACCACCAAGCCCACCCCTACACTCCAGACATCTGATTCTTGAAAATATTAATTACAAAATGCCCTTTGCCCACAGCCCCTAGGAGAGAACTGCATATAAGTTTTATCTTCAATTCCATGGCTCCCTACCAGAGAGGGGTCTGGGGCTTCACCTACCCCCTACCTACCCCTACCCCCAGGAAGAGGTTCAACTGCAGCACAAGCTTGGGCAGAAAGGGGAAGGAAAGGGGGCAGGGAACCCATCACCCTCTGGCTCCCCCTGGGGCCAGCTCACTTTTGTGCGTTATAATAGTCCAACTATACAACGGAGAGGGGGGGCGGCCCAGCCTCTCTCTATACCCTCACCTTACAGCAGTCACAGCCAGGGGGTGGGAAGGGGAGGTGAGGAAAAGGGCGGTAGGTTGGGTAATGGAGTGGGCCCCCCCACAAGGGGAGCTCCATGTGTCCGCCCCACACCCCCCTACCATTTATAAACTGGTTTTGTAAAAAGAAAATAGATATATTTATATAGAATATATAAAGCACAAAAATTAGTAGTTTTACATTTGCTCTCCCCGGGGGTGGGGGGAGAGGGGAGGGTTCTCACCTCCAGCCGGCTCCCCCATGCCCCATAAGACTATGTACAATCCCATGTATAAATAGATAAATACCCCCCACCCTCCCCGTGCTGACACTAAGCTCCCCACCCCCACATCACCACCCCTTCCCACCAGACCAGCAGCAGTTTGGTGACTGAGGGAAAGTGGGAGCTCCGGGCCACACCCTGCCTCACTGGGTATGGGCATGCCACTCAGGGATAGCCCTCACCCTGCCCCCCACCCACCCATCCAGGGGCTGGAGGGCAAATGGGCTCATGATGAGGTTAGGAAAACAGGAGAGAGATATCCTGGTCCTAGGTTTAGCACACCCCTCCTGCCCCATGTCCAGATGGAGAAGGAAGTCCTAGAGCAACTAGGGGCCAGTCATCCCCAATCTTCATCACCATTTGCCTCAACCACCATCCCATGCCCATAATTAAAAACAAAGATGGATTTTTTGTTGTTGTTTTTCTTCCTCCTCCTACCCCCTTTCCACCCACTCAGAAGAGGGCAGTGAGGTGGGGGAGAGGGTTGGGGCAGTAGGGGCTTGGAGAGGGTCTCACATTTCAAAACAGCAAAAAATCCAACACTTAAATGAGGTAGGTGTGGGTGCGGGGTCTCCTTGCCCGGCTTGCCTAGCTTACCCTCCTGGGAAGCTGGGCGCCTCTTTCCCGTTCATGTTGCATTTGTCAGAGTGGAAAACAAGGAAACACAACCCATAGAGAGACAGAAACACAGAGGAAAGAGGGAGACAGAGACAGATAAGAGAGGGAAGGAGTTGGGGGTGAGGGTGGGGGCAGGACCCGGCAGGCAGGGCCAGGTGTGGGACCCGGCCTTTGGGATTGTCAAGCTTAGTCAAGTCTCTTTGCAGCCTTGAGTTGGGCCGGAGAGGTCAGTGGGAGCAGCAGGGCTGTGAGGCCCGGCCACACATCCTCCTCCCCGCTCCCTGCTGCCTCCCAGATGCTTCTGGGTAGTTCCCGGCCCATATCCCCCTCAAACCTGAGATGCCCAATGGCTGCTTCTGTCTGGCCCCTCCTGGAGCTGGGGGCAGAGATGCCAGCCTGAGGGTCAGTGGCGGGGAAGAGGGTTGTCCCTGGTGCCCAGGGTGGGCGTGGCCTAAGGGGCCCTCTGCCCCAGCCTCTTGCTCCAGGGGCTCCGGTCAGTCGGCAGCCCCTGCCCTGGGTCCTGGCTCTGGCTGCTACCTCTCTTCCCCCTCATCCCTTTCAGGGAAGAGGTTGGGGGTGGGGAGACTCCCCTGCCTGGTAGCCTCAAAGCTTCTTAGTTCATCCATTTTCGACAATTCCAGGCTCCACAGTGACAGGGGATCTTGTGCTGATCATCCTCAAAATCAAACTGATAGTCATAGGTCAGCTGGAAAGAGAAAAAGGCAAAATCAAAATTTACTCCCCAGAGGAAGGGGATGCTGGCTGAGATCTGATCTGTGGGTCACGGCCTTGAAACCCAGCTCCTAAGTAATAGCAGAGAAGGGGAAGAGAGGGAGGAGCTGCTTTGTCACTCACTTAGGATGCTTCCTCTCACCTCCTCTCCTTTGGGGATTCGCCGGCTAGAGATGATAATGATTTTGTCCTCCTTGTCAAATGTCACGACTTCTGCCACACAGTTAGGGGCACAGGAATGGTTAATGTACCTGGGCAGTGGGACAGAGTCAGTGATGCCAGGCAACTGAGTAGAGATAATTTTGGTTCATTGTTGACCTATGCTCAGAGGGTCACCTCCAAAGACCCCTAAATCCCTCCTTCATCTCTCACCTGGCAGGGCCTCCAGTCAATGTAGCATCAATGACATGTTCATTGTTTATTCGGAACATGTAGATGCCTCGATTCTAAGAAAGACAAAGGTTGCAGAAGGGACAAAATTATCATATAGTAGACTCAGGCTGTGGGTTTATCTACCATGTTCCTCCTCATTTCTCCTGCCTTTCTCCTTTCCCCCATAAGCTTTCTACCACCCCTCCTATACCTAAACCTCTCATACTTAAACCTGCCCCCTCTTCCTTGACTGAGTGTGGACCATCTACCATAAAGACCCCTCAACTCAGCCCATACCTGCTCTTCATATATTTTCTCCCGCCGGTTGGCCACCTCATTGCGAATGATGGTGCCAATGTACTCGATGACCATAGTGTGCTTTTCTAGATCCTTGGCTGCATAAAGCCCCAGGCCCTGGATACGGGAGCGAGCCAGATACACATTGTTCTTCCACTCGGTGCGCAGGCGCCGGTATTGAGATGACTTCGAGTGCACAAACTGCTTGCTGTATGGTGTGTTGGTTTCGCCTGTGAAGGTGCTCTGATATGCCTTAGACATGCTGGTGCTGTTCAGGGTATGGGGCCTGGGAGGTGATACAGTCCATGACAAGACAGCTACAGACCAAGTACACACCACCCACCTCCTCCCTGGGATGTGCAACACACTGTTAGGATGTGTGGTGCTGGCAAGTGCTGCCTGGGGGTGGAGGCACCTGGAGAGGTGGAGAGAGGCAGCAACTAGCTAAGAGTTGACACCCTAGATGGCACAAACCGCCCAAGACAAGGGATGGGGATGGAAGGAGAGGGGCACCAATTCCCCTACACTGAGCCTGCTCTCCCATCTCTTCTCTTGCTACCACCCTCTTGCTAAACCATATGCATAGGCCAGGCTCCTCTAGGAGTCCCCAAGCAGTCCAGGTCTAGAATGTAAACTATTGAGTTCTACCTCCTGCACATGATGGAGCCATGTCTACCACATGGGCTGGATGTGGGTGGGATTTTAATTAAAATTGGCTGTAAATTTGCAGCCTAAAGGTGATATTCTTGCTTTTCTTCAAACTGTCCCATTCTCTGTCATAGCATCTGGCTCTGTACAGATGGCTCAGTGCAGGGGAATGACTGCTACCTGGCAGGATGCCTTTTCACCACCCTAGGACACCAGCCAAATTCTTGCCCATCCCAGAGCAGTGGTTTTCAAACATTTGGGTTGTTTTTGGTTTTTGTTTCATTAGCAGAATTTTTTCTTTAACAAAATGTTGACTAACTCCAATCTAAAAAGTTGGTGAGGATATAACTCTTCTGGTTGAATGCAATTTGGGGAAGGTGAAATTATGCACAGCAAGGGCCAAGTTCTTCTGCCCATCAGATTATGTGTTCCATAGCATTCGGCAACACATACACTCATAGTTTGAAAACCACTGTTGTAGAGCATCAAGGACCAGGGCTGACTAGGGGTAGACTCTGACGCTCTACGACAGCCTAGGAGTCACCAAAGGCCTTTAAGAAATCCCTGCTATCATGGATTCTGCCTCCCTCTACCCAAGGACCAAGGTCAGGCTATTGTGATACACAGAAAGAATAGTGACACAAGTCAAGACGTCTGGTCCCACTTGTATGACCTTTATCCAGTCATGTAGTCTTTCTGGGCCTAGTTTTCTCAGCTGTAAAATGGGGGTCATACCACCTGCCCTACCTACCTCATAAGGTTGTTGTGAGGATCAAATGAGATAATGGATGTGAAAACGCTTTGAAAAAAAAAGTATAAAGTGCTATACAAATGTAAGGTTTTATTATTTTTCTATTATATTTCTAATTATTTTTGACACCAACTCAACCTTGGGAAGGGAAGGTGACCCTAGCATTCATGGGGTGCCTGAGATTTTGGAGAATCACAGGCCCCCCTGGATGCAAAAGAGGAAAAGGAAGAAGTGACCAAGTCCCTTATATATTTCATAAC